CAGTCGTCGATTTGAATCCCGATAAAAACAGGTATAAAACGCAAATGTTACTAAATGACTATCTGTCGAAATACAAGGATCTATGACACAAAAATGTCTCACATACTTTTTCGAATTAACTAAATAGAGATCATGTAAATCCTTGATTTAACTTAGTAAAAACGAGTTATTACTCACTACTACTCCACGTTAATTTCATATCTTATCAATTTCTCAACGATTATCAGCACGTTTTCTTTCATTCTTTATCTGATTATCATACAAAGTCAAACAAAGATCTGTTATTTTCAAGATTTCCAAGATATCAAGATAATAATAAAGTAGTATCAGTCAAGTACCTGAACATCCTTTTGGAAGCCTATCACTGAGATTTTATTAGGAGCCAATTGATGACTTAAACTGAACTATAAAACCAGTGGCCTCAGATTTCTGTATCTGTTTCGTGGTCATTGGTTTTTTCTTAGGTGATTAGACATCTGTGCACACGCCGTCGACTTTTTGGGTCTAAAGCAAGCCGGTTTCCACACAATGTTTCCTTCGATTGTTAAATACGATCATTGCAAGTCCATTGGGATCGTAAGGTATTTAACCTTTTGCCTGGGATCGAACTTACGACCTCAAGGAAGAGAATAGCACATTGAAGCCACGAGACCAACACTGCTCTATAACTAAAAGCCTAAACTGAGCTGCTTACGTTGCTATGACATCGAATAATAATTTTAGGGCAGTTTTTGCTTGCTTGCGCTAACTACTGTGGAACCAGCTACCCACTGAAGTATTTCCAAACCAATTCGACTTAGGTTCCTTCAAGAAAAGAGCGAACCAATTCTTAAAAGGCCGGCAACGCACTAGCGAGCCCTCTGGCGAGTTTCCATGATAGTGTCCACGGGCGGCGCTCACTTAAGATCAGGTGAGCGTTCTGCCCGTTTGCCCCCTGTTCTATAAAAAATAAATTTGTATGTACTATTTTTTTCAAGGAAATTGATATAAATTACTTTAAAGAAATTCATGATAGCAATTTCTTATAAAATATTGAGAATGATTAGAAAAACGTTTTACTTTGAAGCTTAATTGTCTGTTAAATGCCTATGAATATGAATTTAGACAAAATTTTCTTCATCCTTAATTTTCCTGGCATTTCTTTGAAGGCTTTTCTTACAAAAATTCTAATTATTTTTTTTTATAAAAGGGGTTACAAAGTTTTACAATAACTTTTATGTTTTATTACTCATGGAATTATTCTTAATATAATATGGGACGAACAGGCAGGAGGCTCACCTGATGTTTAGGTATCCGCTGCCCATGGACACTAACATTGCCAGAAAGCTCGCAAGTGCAGTGCCGGTCCGTCAAGAATTGGTACGCTCTTTTCTTGAAGCAACCTAAGTCGAATTGGTTTCGAAATACTTCAGTGGGTAGCTGGTTCCACAGTAGTTAGAGACTGTGAAAGTGTGGAAAGACAATTTCATATTCTGCCTCGACGCCCGATGGTGAAACTCAGCTGGAGGTATTGATCGGAACACCTCCTCTGATCACTCTTCATGGTAAATGCGGTAGAACCCTACATCTCTATGCAACCCTAAGGAATCATGCAACTCGGAAAGTGACTTGAATTCGAATAGCTCACGGTCAAGTAGAACGAGCTGGTTCTGGGCAGATTTCCTCCGGAGAGATGAGAACAGTAGGTACTCCATGTGGAGTTGAATTTGAGGTTTATAGAGTTGCAAACGGTGACCCGGATAGCTTTGTATGGCTTACTACTATTACTTAGTCCTAGGAGCGCTTCTTAAGTTTTCCATGTATAAATCTATCGTTACAAAGATTTTACGTATTATTCAAGATGTCTTATTACATCATTATTACAAGTAGTATTATAATAATAGCCTTTAATTCAGATAATTTTACATTTAAATACATTTCTATCTGAATCCTGTTCTATTGTATCTGTGTGCCCAAGCTTGAGATCCGACAAGTACAGTAGTCTTCTTCAAATTCCCGTAGCCCAATGGAACGTGAAGTATTGGCTGCATTTGTTTAATATGTAATTATCAACTGAAACAATGTCTGAAATCGATCTTAGAAGGGTTAAACGCCGCGAGCGTACCTTTAAATATCTACCCTATAACTGAGCCACGGTTACTTAACACACAGTTGACAGTGCCTAGGCCTCAGGGTAACGTTAGGAGGCGACATCGGCCGCCGTTACAATTCGTACCCTCAGCGAAATATAACCTCGAAAAGGGCACACATGACACAATGTATGAAATGATCTGCATATATAAACAGACGTTTTTAATTCCCTGTTGAGTGAACTGACAAAAGGTCTGCCTCATTTCAGTTCCTATACTGTAAAAAATATTTAGTCGTTTTTTTTAATCTATTATAATGTATGTATAAAGTTGTGTTGTTTTTTCTATCTGTATGTAATGTTTTGAATGTTTTTTATTATAGAACAGAGGACAAACGGGCAGGAGGCTCACCTGATGTTAAGTGATACCGCCGCCCATGGAGACTCTCAATGCCAGAGGGCTCTTAAAGGGCTCTCTCTTTTTCTCTTTTTAAGAGTAATCTGTAATGGCTTATTGTGTAAAAAATAAAAATAAATTAAACCAAGAACTTAATGTTTTTTTCTATTTTAGGTTCGACGGCTACTATCCATGATGTAGGCGTCAGTGGCTGTTCCATAGATGCAAAGTCCTGCATTCTGAAGAGGAATACCAATGCCACAATCAGCATTGACTTTACCCCTTGTATGTATCATCATAAATCCATGAAATTATAATCAGTCATATTGTATTTATTAAAACTATGTAGTTAGGTATTTTCCTTAATTGGTGGAAGGTAAGATAGCTATAGATAGCTAGATAGGTTTAAGTAGAGGGCGCAAGAATTGTGTGTCAAGTTTATTCTGATATGGGGCAATGTAAATACATTTATTTGATCATATTAATATCTTACTTAAAGGCAGTGATCATCGATTCTTGGACCTAAAAAGTATGGTATTTAATGTAATGTACCTAAAAACATGCTTCTGGAATCCTGTGCCTGGTGCACAGGATTCCAGAAGCAAATATAAGTAAAACATCAAATAGAATTGTATGTGTAAATGATCAATAAAAACGAAAAAACTATATTTTTAATAAGAATGGATTGGTTATCAAAAATCGATATGGCGGGAGAGACTATTTTGGACAATAATCAGTATCGCTTTATATCACCATTGCACATTTATTATACATAATTTATATTTTTGTATGTTTACGAATAGTTTTACCATAAGAAAGCTAAGCACCTGTGAAAAGGTTATATTTAATGTTACAGCTAAAGCGGTTACTTCGATTGAGACAGTTGTGCACGGTGTCATCATGCATTTGCCTGTTCCGTTCCCGATTTCACAGCCGGACGCTTGTAAGGGCAACGGTCTGACTTGCCCGCTTAAGGTAGGCAAATTTCGTGGCTTAGTGTTAACTAAAGTATTATCAGTATATACAAGAGATACTTATAAAACATTTATACCGTAAAATACATTATGGTTTCTTACGTATAAAAACCAGTATACTTGTATTTTTTAAAGAAACAATAGCCTAAGAGTAGAGACGAAATTAACGAAACGCATTAAAAATCGGAGATATGTAAGCGCCTGCCAAATTATGTGTGCAATGTTGCTGTTAATAAATAGTACAAAAAAAATTTAATACTAAATACTTAATAAACAAATAATTATATACGTTTTCTAGGCGGGCGAAAAGCAAGCATACAAAACAACATTGGCAGTACTCAAAGCGTACCCAAAAGTTACCGTTGAAGTGAAATGGGAACTGAAGACTGATGCTGGAGAGGACTTGGTCTGCGTTCTGATACCTGCACAGATAAAATAGAAAGTCTAACAACAGATATAAAGATTTTTATACAATATTTTGTGATAATTATTTTTAGAACGTAAGAAGAATAATGGTTAACTGTGTGCGGCTTTTTTATAATGTACTGTATGAATGTGATGATTTCAATATATTATCTTGTGGGCATTAACAGAAAATACATTTAATAAGCATCTTCGAATAAAAGCACGGTATTAGCAGTGCCGTGTCAGTAAACTCATAACACATGAAAACTCGAATAAAATTACTTAATTTTGCTCTGAATTTTTAAGCAACTTTCATTTTTTGTACCGTAAGAAAACAAGTTGCCTCAATCTTTTATCAGGCGTATTTTTATGAATTTTTTGTTAGATTCCTTAATATCCAACGCAATAACTATTTGCTTTATATAATAAAATTTGTGATTATTTAGTTACCTAGTTCTTAGATATTCATTTATTTTCAGCAAGAAGTTTTAAATTTGTAAGTCTTGCCGTGTCCAGTCGTAATATAAGCTTTGAAATAAATATTTGTAATTATTAAATATATACATTTAGATCCTCTACTGTCTACATAACTCAAATGTGTCAACTCAACACGAGTTGTGTTTTGAAATTATATATGTTTTTTAAATATAAGGGTAAAATCTGTTGACTAGCTTTGAAGTCTCGTCACACCTATATAGAGTATGAAGTAAGACACATTTCTGCGCAAGCGACCTGGTGTTGCACCTCACTCCAACTGACGCAACTGCTCGTTTGCTCTTTATCCATTAAAAAAAAACAAAAGTAAATGAAACCAATGTAGATAAAAAACTTTAATATATTACAAATATTCGTTTGTATGTTTGTAAAAAGTTACTATATAAATATTTTCTAACTCTAACAATCCTTTTATTGGGTCACAAATTTCTTTTAACTGTAATAGTGTAATAGCAGGAGAAAATTAACTACAGTTCACAAAACTGTTACACAACTTTTTGTATTACGGTTTTTATATTTATATACTAACTCACAGATAAACATACTGTATACAGCCTCAAATACAATTTAATGTTTTGACCTTTTCAGTCATCTCAAATTACAAGTGTCAATAAACATTATTAAACTAATTGGACTTTTTATAGTATCTTTTCTGTTTTCACTATACTGGACCCTTACATTTACCACACACCTTCTCTTTCTTAAAACATAAGTTAAACTCATTTTTAAATATTTTTCTATACATAGATTCTTTTAATGGAGATTCACCAATTTTTTCACATTCATTTACATACATTATATACATTTGTTTAACAGTCAGATTTGAATCTAAATATTGCCGCTTTAAAGAAAATGGGTTTATTGGCTTAGAGTCAATTGTTTCTAAGGACATTATATGTTTTCTCACTCTATCTTTTTCTCTCTCTGGTAATGGATGGCAACTAGACAAACCTCTACCATCCCTTTTCGGTATATTCACCTCAGATTTATTTAAATGCACATTATATATTGGTTTTTGGGATATTGCTAGTGTTCCTAAATAAAAATTTTTACACACAACAAACTTATCTGTTCTTATATAAAAGAAATATTTGAATGTATAGTTCCTTTTGCCATCACACGGCCTATCTTTTGTCTTAATTAAGTGTCTCTCTGTTGTATTTAGAAGAAAGTACTTTTTTTCATTGGTATCTAGAGAATAGAATGATTTGAACAAAAGTTGTCTGTCTTCATCATTGATTTTCTCCATGCACTTGAAACGGCAAGAAGTTAAGCAGTCTTTTTTGTTACGAATTTGCTTTTCTGGTACAAGCTTTCCTCTCCGACTAATATAGGCTTCACCTTGTTGACATTTTTTTTTACGAATATTGTTTTGCCACTGGCTAGGGTCTGGCACACGTAGTATTCGACTCCTCCTAGTTAAATTCTCCTTATTAATGTTATTTCTCACTTCAGATTTTAACCTGGAAATTAGCTAACATTAATTTAATCTAATTTCAAATGTAAGTACTTTAAGTAAAATTTGTATTATTCGGAAACAGTAAAAACTTTTTGTACAATAAATATGTATAATAAACATTGTAAAATATGATAAACTATGCACAAATAAATTAATTAGTAAATTACTTAACTTTAAACAGTTTTTATGCAGATCAGACATAATAAATTGAAAAACTTACAAATCCTCATTTTTTACAATAATAGTAAGATCGGGCTCTGGTTTTGTTTCTTTAGATACTGCATTATATTGACTATAGTACTGCTGATGTACACTTCCATTTAAAGAGTGTTTAATTAGTGGCACTTGGGGTAGAATTACATGGGATGTAATATGCAGAGGTTGACACTCATTTTGCGGCCCTGGTATTGAAGCATGCATAGTCTGTTGAACATTCTGCAAGTGAATTTGGTGACAAGACATGACTGTTTGACTCTGAAGAACATTTTGAAAGTTTAAGGAGTCGTTTATAGAGTCTTGGTTTGGTAGTGGTGGCTGAACAGCGTGCTGATAAACCTGAACGATATGAGGTAAACTCACTGTTGGTTGTAAATTATCCATATCTGAAAATATTAACAATGTTTACATAACAATATGAAAATACAAAATTCCTACTAATAATTTTAAGTAACTATTCATACCTTTTAGATCTTATGTGACTTAGTCGCGTGAGGAAAGTTTAAAACTTACGAATTACATTCTAAAGTATTAACAAAATTTACCATTATGTTTGTTTTGGTTTTTAATAATTTATTTACTAAACATAGCAGTTCAGTGTAGTCTGTAGTATTAAGTCAATTGACAATCAAAATGTAAGTTGACACAAACCACCAATCGGTATGTTGACAGTAAGCAGCAACAGATAACTGTCAAAGTAGGGATGTACCTAAAATCGGTAAGAGGATCGATTGTTCTTATTCATGATTAACATTAAATAATTCAATTTACGAAATAATAAAAGATGTTATGTTTTATATATTTATTGAAAATAATAACAAATGCTAAATTATATTGCATACCTTTGGTATTTTTATTAAATGTACTTACTAATAACTAAACAAAAATACCTTCATATTTTGGAACCTAAATAAATTTACTACACCAACTAATTAGTATAACTATGTCAACCATTTGCTTTCGTTGCATTTTGTTTCTCTTAAGCTAAAAAAATGCTTGTTATATAAAATAATACAAAACAATAATATTTTATCTCTATATTATTATCGACTCATACCAGCTGACGGTAATTTAGGTACCTTAATACATACCTATCGTTAATCTATCACAGCACATTTACTCACGATTAGTAATAAAAATATATACTTTCAATATGATCAACAATTATACAAAGAAACAATTTTTCCGTTTTTGTTTATGTGGCAGTTGGTATTTTCCAAAGTTGTTTATATTTACAAACAGTAATGATATATTTCAAACTGTTAAATATTTGGCTTACTGTCAAACTTATTTTCTAAGAAGTGATAGACATAGTCATACACAACCAACATTATTGCACCACCAGGGCCCAATCGAAGTACTTTCGGTAACAATCCTTTGTACAGAGCTCGAAAACTGAAAAATTAATTAGTTTATTAGTTAGGGGCCGGGGTTAGAAATATTTCATTTCAGTTAAAAATTGCAACAGAATATCGTAATAAAGAATATTGTTATCACATTTATTTAATAAATTATAATTATATGAAATAAATAGTGGTATTCGATAATTGGCATATAATATAGGTTAGATACGGGGAAGTATAAGGAGTCACTATTTACCTACATTTACTTATAATTGCAAATAGTATCATGTCGTAGATTAGTGCACAACTATTTTAAGCATGAATGCATCAAAGTTCATGATATTTATAACTATTGCACAATTATATACCTAATAAAAATAAATAATTTCTCCTTCTTTAAATTAATACATTACTACTACACCTAAATTTTACGTTTTAAATACATATTATTTTAAATTTACTTTGGAGATATTTTCCTTTTATTTCGGGGCAACCAAAATTATAATTGTTTGATTTCGAAACATTAAAAATATAATTAATTGACACAGTACCTATGTACTATAACTCTAAATTTTATGACAAACTTAACGTTTAATATAAATAAATATTACAAATGTGACGTCAGGTCTTATCAGTGAACCGGAAATCCTTGTTTTTCAGGTAATGGTGAGTTGTATTTTCAGTTACGAACATTTGGATACGTTCCAGAGAGGGCATTGCTACACGATGATAATAACACTTTTTTTTAGCGGGGGAAATTCTGTTATGCATTGTTCCGATTGCATCTGTGAAGGAAGTTATTTGGAACTCCTTAATTGTACCCCACCCACTACAATACCACCGAGACATTTACATGCTATTGGACATGTTTGGGTGACAGCTAGACATTCAATTGTCCAGATAACAACAAGATATAATATATTTCACAACCATAACTTATTTTATTTGTAAATGAATAACGTAGTGCAATTTGTTTGACATAGATTTTTAGCTGTCATTCTTCAAAAAAGTCGTAGTAAAATTTATTATAAAAAAGCTTTGAATTATACATATTTATAACTGCTATAGTAATTAAATGTTATAATGAACGAATGAAGTATATGAAATATTCGAAGAAATAATATATTTTAAATTTAAAACGATATTATATAAATAAATCTAGTCATAACGTTGTGTAAGTCATCTTATTATCAGTAACAGATAATGTATGATAAGAGTAAAGTAAAAATAAACAGAGCTACATTGAGTAAAACAGTAGGCATATATTTTAACCAGATAGGTAATTAGTTACCTAGTCAAACACTGGCATTTCGCCAACGTATTTTGAAACATTGATACTATAATACAACGCTAAAGAAACAGTAGAATTACCTACTTACAGATTGTGTAAGTCTATGTTTAGTGTAGGTGGTAATGAATACAAGACTAGACTTGGGTCGCTAACCCAGAGTGAGTGAAGTTTAGTGACGAGGTTAATCAAATTCTAGGCCAAGTAGATAAGCAACTAATTAACTGAACTGAATTTTAGTTTTGGTGCATTTGAATAATATAAAACTGTTCCTTTAGTACTTCTACTTCTTGTTAGGTACTTCAGAGTAATTAAGAGATTTTTTATCTACGCCTCGTATCGATTATGATCTTTATACCTACATATTCATGTATTACTATGATTCTAAGTGGTATGGCTCGATTATCCCCATTAAAATTCAATAAAAATGTAAACGTAAGTACACAAAGGAAGCCTGAGAAGAATCTATAACGAAAGACATAAAGATGACGCAATATTTAACTCAACATAATCTGCATATATTTTTTTTATATCTAAAACTTTTTTATATCTGAAAACTTTCCATTTATTCTGAAATTAAAATCATTATAATGCTACAGCAAATGGTGTCAACAATCTAATAAAGCTAGGTTATACATGTTGCAAATATCTTTAATCTATGCCACGGTCAAAGTAACCGTCTTAAAGTTTATAGATTGTCACATATAAATGCAGATTATAGGATAGATAGTGGTATAAAGGTAAATATTTAATAGGTATTATTAGCAATAGTATATTCATATCGATATTTGTATTTTCATTTTTATCGGATTATAGGATTGAGTTAAAGGTAGACAGGACTGAGCCCACTAGAACAAGAATCACTCAAGAATATTTTTTCGGTTCAACGCACTGAAAAATCTAAGAATATCCAAGAACAATATAATAACATAATACGGCGAATTAAAACGCCGCCGTATTGTTTCTTACCTACTGATTGTTATTATTATTTTGTGTGTTTCGTTAGTAATGAATGTTATGTATATGTTATGTCTATATTAAGTACCTACATGTATATTAAGAGTTAAGACATAAAAAAATTGCATCCATGAAATAATATAAATCATCTGATCTAATTATTGTTATTAAATTCTTCCTAAACGGCGACACTGCTTTTACTTATCGAAACAATATTTTCCTTATATTCGTATGTACCCTATATCTCTGACGAAAGACAACCTATTACTAATATGTATGTACGAACAGACATAAAACGTTAAATAATAAAATAAATCCATGGCGCTACAACCTCTTTAAGTCTGGGCCTCAGATTTCTGTCTCTGTACCATGATCAATCTAATAGGCAAGTAGGTGCCTGACACACGTCAACTTTTTGTGTGTGAGGCAAGCCGATTTCCTCATGATGTTTTCCTTCACCGTTCGACAAAATATTTAATGCGCACAAAGAAAGACCATTGGTGCACAGCTGGGGATCGAACGTACGACCTCAGGGATGAGAGTCGCACGGTAAATATACTAGGCCAACACTGCCCGACGAAAACTTTAAAACTCATTTAAATTCATGTAGAATAATACATATATACTATTTATACTGAATAATTCCTAAATGGGTGACTTTAGTAGCCGTATGTATTTTCTGTTGAGTTACAATTTGATGAATCATTCTAGAAATGATGTTTTGTTTATGGTACATATTATATCATACAAATATAATACTCACCCTTCCTCCTTATAGACGAGACAAATTGCTCCACTGGTCGAACTATATTTGATCACTCCAGGCACAGGCTGTGGACCTTGGATTCGACTCTTGGCAACATCAAATGGTATATTCACACACGAACCTAAGACGCCTGACGTAAAGCCTATTAGGACTTTCCGCCCAAACTCGAGAAGTGGATCCTGGAATATCAATGTTATAATCATGTTTAATAAGGCTAATAAGAATTACTGATTCCACCTCCAGTTTTAGTAGTAATGGCATTTACTCCTCCAGGCCTAAGTAAATAAAGTCCCATTTTTAGGAAAGGGCAGATTTGGCACTAGACAGCCTAGATTCTCGGCTGCAGATCTGCCTGATTGCGTCCTATATATTAAAAAAACACAGGGTTTGAGTATCGTATTCGACTCCTAGCGCCACAATAAATGGTTCTTTCTATAAATCTACTAAACTGCCACAGGAATGTGTGCCAAATTGGGTGATACTATTGAATTCTCGTGAAATGCAATAGCGTCTCTATCGAAATGTTTTAAAGTAGATTTTACAATGTTATTTTGTATTTGGGACCTTACTAACACAGTATATTTTTGAAGGTCCTTAGAAGTAGAAGGTATAATGCGGAAATGTTGGAGAGAGACTGGGGCTGCGTGTGCCAAATGACTGCACTCGGCGTGGTAAGCGGTAGCGATTGCTTGCAGTGCTTCGGGCGTGTACAATTCAGAGAAGCACCATTTACGCGTGTCTTGCGCACCGTAAATATTATTGCTTGTGAGACGGATATATTTAGTTGCACACTTTGAATTCACAAGAATTGCATTATTTATAATTAGTTACATTTATGTTTTGTTTACATTATATTTTTAGTTTATTTTTATATGAATAAATTTTCTTTTGAATTAAATTACTGTAAAAATATGAAACATTAGATAATTATTACTTATTAGTGATTGGTTAACACAAAGAACACAGCTTAAGATTTGTTTTTATATCCGTTGACTTCGGTAATCAAGTGTAATATGAAATAAATGGATAAAATTGAAATATATTTGAATTGTTGATTTTAAAAAGTCAACGACTTCAATATAAAAATGTATAACTGTACTTAAGGGTATTCTAGCTGTTATCTACAGCGATAGAGTAGGGGAACCGAGGGTAATGGGAGCCAGAGGGTAATGGGAGCGGTGCGCCTAAAGACTAAACTACAGCTCGTATTTACTCAGTTGCCACTTAGACCCTTTCGGCACACTGCGTTTGTGTCCCCCCGCGCCGCTCGACTCGTCACTGCCACGTGTGATGTGACCCCGGACGCTTGTCAATTTTGTAGTCCGCGCTTATAAAAAATACGAAATTTCAAATTGCCAGGTATGTATGAAGATATTTGTTTGTTACAATCAAACCTTTTTTATTTTATAATTAATGTTATTAATTTTGAGTATCTTTACGTATAATTTCGTTACAAGCTAGATGCAGTATTTAATTTTATTAAATTTCAAGATGGTGGTAGTCGGGTAATTAGAGCTTATTAGGCTCTGATTACCCCAACATTCTTATCAAAATTATTTTTATTTTTTAGATATCAAAATGCCAAGAAAAAGAGAACGCACCACTACGAAAGCATCTTGGACCACTACCTAACATAACTAACAAAAATAAGACATCTAGACAAAAACAGCATTCAGTAATTTTGTCTAGCACGCCAATGAAAGCAGTATTTGAAGAGAAAGAGAAGAAACGCTTAGAGAAAAAAAATAAAACTGAAATCAGTACAAAGAGAAAGGGAGAAACCATCAACAAAAATAGAAAATGTAGAGCAGAAAAGGGAAAAAAACTAAAGAAGGCAATGAACAAAAAAGAAAATGTAACAAGAGTTAAAAAGAAACTTTTTGAGGATGAAACGGAGACGTCTGAAGACGAAGATGTTGAGAATCTTTGCGACGATGAGTCAGAATATTCAGAAGAAGAGACATTGTGTGCTATTTGCTGTGATATAGGAAAAAACAATGAGATGTGGTACCGTTGTAGAAGTTGTGGTAAATGGGCAAATAAGCAATGTTCTGGTTCTGAGAGCCCAGTTGATTATATTTGCGTTTTTTGCTTAGATCCTTAAAGTTAAATGTTACACGATTACGTTATATTAAATTTTATATGAATAAGTGAGATCCAGACTGAGATAGAAATCTTTGAGGCTGATTTAATAAATAAGTAGCTCCCGTTACCCATATGCGAAATTATAGGCTCTCATTGCCCGCAAAGTCGGGTAATGAGAGCGATCCTGTTTTTTTCTTTTAAGTTTATTTGTGGCAAAATGTCAAATTATGTTACGTTAACGCTGTGATTAAATGATAGTCGAATAAGTAAGGATTTAGTTTCTAATAAAAAGTTAATAAAGTATCAATAAATTTGGCTTTTATTTAACTTTTTCCTTAGTAGGCTCCAGTTCCCCCCACCTCCCCTACATACATATGCATAATGTATCTAGAACGTGTTTAGAAATAGTAAACAGTTGGTACATAACTAAAATATATACATATAATTGTCTGCGTTTATGCGTAACCTCAACATATTGATGCGTTTAATGTAAATGATTGTGCAGTATTCAATTATCTTGATGTATGTCTTATAGAATATTGTATGAAATCAAAAGCTGATTAAATTACCCTTATTGGTACAAATCAGACACAATTTACGTTTCAATGATTGGTAATCAGTCGGTAGTGGACATGTGCGGATATTAAAGGCATACTGGTTTCGTGTCGATATTTTTAATGTACAAAGCAAGCCGATCATCAACTTGTCTATAGAAACGTTAAAAGAATGGAATCTGAGGCAAAGAGTGACATAAGGTAGCTCCGTTGGATTATTTTATTTTTTTTTTTTTTATAGAACGGGGGGCAAACGGGCAGGAGGCTCACCTGATGTTAAGTGACACCGCCGCCCATGGACACTCTCAATGCCAGAGGGCTCGCGAGTGCGTTGCCGGCCTTTTAAGATTTGGTACGCTATTTTCTTGAAGGACCCTAAGTCGAATTGGTTCGGAAATACTTCAGTGGGCAGCTGATTCCACATAGTGGTGGTGTGCGGCAAAAACTGCCTTGAAAAATGCTCAGTTGTGGAACGGCGGACGTCGAGGTGATACGGGTGGAATTTCGTATTCTGTCTCGACGTCCGATGATGAAACTCAGCTGCAGGTATTAATCCGAACAACTCCTCTGAACACTCTCCATGGTAAATGCGGTAGAAGATGCAGAGTGACCCCACATCTCTACGCAACGCCAAAGGATCAAGCCGCTCGGAGAGGGATTGGTCGTCGACGATTCGAACCGCTCTGCGTTGTATACGGTCAAGTGGAAGGAGCTGGTACTGGGGAGCCCCCGCCCAGAGGTGAGAGCAGTACTCCATGTGGGGCCGAATTTGCGCTTTATATAGTTGTATGCGGTGGCCCGGAGTGAAGTACCGCCTCGCCTTGCTGAGCACACCAAGCTTTTTGGAGGCTAATTTAGCCTTTCCCTCCAAGTGACCGCGAAACTGAACGTCGTTCGATATGTCAACGCCAAGTATTCCAATGCTGGCTGTGGCTTTAAGAAGAGTGTTTTCGAAAAGAGGAGTAGCGACAAAGGGTGTTTTTTTAGCGGAAAACGCGCAAACTTGTGTCTTCTTGGGGTTAAATTGGACTAGGTTTAGTCTGCCCCAGTCTGAGACTCCACGTAGTAGAGTTTCGACTTCAGACACAAGTTTGTTCCGGTACTCATCAACATCTGCCCGAGAAATACCTGCCCGGCCAGTGTAAAAAGTATCCCCAGTGCTGTCATCCGCATAGCAATGAATGTTGCTAAGTTGCAACATATCATTGATATGCAAAAGAAATAGGGTCGGGGATAGAACACAGCCTTGTGGGACCCCAGCGTTCACAGGTTTAAGGACGGAACATGCTCCGTCGATGACGACCTTGATGCTCCGATCGGCCAGAAAGCTGGAGATCCAATCGCATAATTTCTCGGGAAGCCCATAGGCTGGAAGCTTCGAGAGCAGTGCTCTGTGCCACACCCGATCGAAGGCTTTCGCTATGTCCAAACTTACCGCCAGCGCCTCCCCCTTGGACTCAATTGCCTCTGCCCACCTATGGGTAAGGTATACAAGGAGGTCACCAGCTGAGCGACCACGACGAAAGCCGTACTGAGAATCGCTAATCAACTGGTGGCCCTCTAGATACCACAAGAGCTGGCAATTAATAATGGTTTCCATTATTTTTGAGAACAAGGAGGTTATAGCTATTGGGCGATAGTTGGACGGATCAGAGCGATCGCCTTTTTTTAGGGATCGGATGTATCGAAGCGGTCTTCCAGCACTTCGGGACAGTGCCGAGCGAGTACAGGTACCGGAAAAGGCGCGTTAAGACCGGAGCCAACTCAGGAGCACAAGTACGCAGCACAATTGGGGGGATACCATCCGGCCCGCTCGACTTATGAATGTCCAAGGAAGATAGTGCTTTGCGGACAGCACGTTGCCGGAATGTGATTTCCGGCATCGAAGAATTACACCGCGAAAAGGTCGGTGGTGATCTTCCTTGGTCATCCAAAGTCGAGTTGGACGCGAAGAGACAGCCCAAAAGGTCGGCCTTCTCCTTCGCAGTGTGGGCCAGAGAGTCATCCTCCCTGTGCAGTGGCGGAATGGCGGGCTGACAAAAATTCCCTTGGACAGCTTTGGCGAGAGACCAGAAGGCTCGAGTCCCTGAAGGGAGCTGGGCCAATCTCTCGCCAAATCTGGCAATGTGCTCTGACTTTGCCTTAGTGATTTCCCGTTTGAAGGACCTGGAGGCTGAGTTATATGCTGTTTTAAGTTCGCTGGTATTGGCATCACGAGATTTCGCCGCTTCCGCCCATGCCTTAAAGCATTCTCGCTTTCGGCGCGAGGCCGCCTTGCAAGAACGTTTAAACCAGGGCTGAGACTTGCCACCGATCGGCACCGCAGAAAATGGAATAAAGAGTTCCATGCCCTGCAGAACCACTTCGGCGACAGAGGCGGCGACGGAATCTGGAGCTTCCGGCGAAAAGCACATAGGCCCCCAATGGTAGGACGCAAAGAAAGACCGCATCCCGTCCCAATCTGCTGACTTATAGTGCCAAATACGGCGACAACCCATAAAGCGGGGCCGTGAAGGGCGCGTAGATGGCACAGTACTCCGGACCACACAATGATCCGATGAACCCAATGGCGGGTCAACAGAGACTTGATAGTTCTCCGGATGTGAAGTCAGCAGAAGGTCCAACAAAGAGGGTTTATGACCATCCACATCTGGTATTCGCGTAATCGCAGGGACCATTTGTGTCAGGTCGTAGGCTAAAGCAAAGTCGTGAAAGGATCTTCCCGCGTGATCGGTGGTTTCAGAGCCGAGCCAATCGGCATGGTGGGCGTTAAAATCGCCAAGTATCACGATTTCAGCGGTAGGAACCCTTTCGAGCAGGGAATCTGTAGCCATTTGGATGTGCTCAATGAGTCGGTCAGTTTCGGTATTTCCGCTATGGGACCTATACAGGCATGCGTAGAATCGCGGATGGTCATCGCAGTCTACGCGCAGCCAGAGGTTAGATAGGTCCCTTCCTTCAAGCGTCCCGAGGCGACGAGAACAGATATCCTCTCTGACGTACACGCAAACTCCCGCCCGCGGCACAAATGAATGTTCCAATTTGTACCCCGGGTAGGAGAGGTAGGAAGTATCAGCCGGGGAGGAAATCTGAGTCTCGGTAAGAAAAAGCAAGGCCGGCTTCGCAGTCTCTAAATGGTAGTGGACTGCGTTGATATTGGAATTGAGCCCCCTAACATTTGTGAAGTCCACGGCGAGCGTGGACGGGGGTGCCTTTGTTGAATTGCTCCGTTTGCCCCGAGAACGATGACTGTTTTTGTTGAGCGCAGAATTGCCCCCCCCAGAATACGAAGGGCAGCCTGTGCGTGCACCACCGGGTGCTGAGTGTCCCGGTGTTGGACGCCCAGAGGGGGATTCTCCCGCGGCGGTGTGGTACCCCCTGGGGTAGATTCTGTTTGTTCTGCACCTTCATATTTCATATGGGGGGAGGGCTCGGGAGTCCTCCCACCGTACGAAACGCGAGTACAATAAGCGAACTGTTGCCTCACTTCATGCCAGTTTTCTAAGAGACAGTGGTACTGCCCCGGCGTGCTCATGAGCCCGGAAGGCAACAGCATGGCACTCCCACTAAATTACTACAATAAATTTTGGGCCAAAAAAAAGGGGGAAGTTTAGTAGTGGTATAATTTGGAATTTGAAAACGATTAAGTATAATTGATTGTTCTTATCATCATCATGATAGGTTAATATTATGACATTTGCATGTCTATTTTTATATGGCTGATTGTGCGGTGTTTTTTATTATTAACAATAAAATTCAAAATGTAGGTACCATTTTCAAAATATTTGCATTTTGCATTGCAAATAAACGATTTATTATTATTATTCAATAATTGCCACATATGTTAGAAATATATTTTTTTTTATAATAAGCAAATTAGTATCGATAATATTCAGTCTTTAATGGATTTTTCCTCAGCCTCATTTCTGAATTACTTAAACCATTTAAATATCCAATATTTCAAGGTAAGGTTATCATAATCATGTCATATAATATCGCAGTAACCGATATTACCGATAGCGATATATAGCAATTGTTTAGTAATTACAGGCAAAAATAATTAGCAATGTTACATTATCTAATGATAAATCATCATCATTTGATAAGTTCTCGTTAGGTAACAGGCTATAAACTATTATAAATAACCAGATAGCGCCACAACTCTTTACGTCTGAGCCTCAGATTTCTGTATCTGTTTCATGATCATTTGTTTTTTTCAGGCAAGTAGGCCTTCTGTGCCTGACACACGCTGTCAACTTTGATTCTAAGGCACGCCTTTTGTCACGATGTATTCCTTTACGAATGTAAAGGAGTGGGGGGTTAGAACCCTCGGGGATGCGAGTCGAACACTGATACCGTTAGTGTTCTAGTCCTAATTACAGTGTAGAATCAATTTCTATTGTTACTTCTCTATTGGATAGTACATGTATATCAGTTAGTGTAATCGCGGAACACAGCTGACTATTGCAGGATAGGATGTAAATAGTTTATATATGTTAATGTTACTGAGGAAAATATATTTTTAAATTACACGTGATGTAATCGTGTACCTACGATAACACTTCGGGGCAATGATATTCTTATCGCCATTGGTTCTGTTAAGATTAAATATTGGTTTTATTTTTAAAAATGATAAATTAAATTTGGAAAAAAAATCTACCAAATGTAAACTAACTTGTATCTGAGATTTGACATTCTCAATAGCTACTATACTTATTTATCTCTATAGGTATATAATATATATAGTTCTCCTGTACATGTTTTCGTGTGTGAACTCTTAAACGGCTGGACCGATTTGAATGAAATGTTTTGTATGCGTTTAAGTGGCGCCATGGATGGTTTAGATTCACAACAGCCCGGCAGATGACGCTGCAATCGGAATCTAGGTTATTTATCTACACAGCATGCGCTTGTGATCTTAATTAAACTCCTAAACGGCTGGACAGATTATGATGATATTTCTTGTGTGTTCAAGTGAAGCCGAGAATGAATTACAATATTAGATATTATTTTTTGTATGTAAGACGTTTGTACAGGACAACGACTGTCGGATCAGCTAGTTTAAATATATCAAATTGCCATATTTGGACTAAATTATAAAAAAAAAGTCTATATAATATTATGTATATAAAATTCTCGTGTTACTGTGTTAGTCTCCTCTGAAAAACTTTACCTATTCGGTTCTCAGAATCTGTCGTAAACTATTTTTTTTTATAGGTACATCTAAATGATTAGCGTGGCTCACCCCAAACATTTTTATTTTTTACACATTTTTTTGGTTATGATTTGGTATTAAAATACATTTGTCCCTTAACATACCCTGCCCCAAATCCATTTTTTTTTCAATATATTAGTACTGTAACAATCTTTTAGGTACAACGTTTGCAAGGTCAGCTACTTTTTTTTAAGTGTAACTTCTTTAGGCGCGCTAATGAGGGTACAATTTTTACGGATGAAACGTCATAATAATAATATGAGCGTCACGAAGATGTGCAGCGTTTTAGTTGAAGAAAAGGTAGAGAGCGATTGAGACCGATTAAAAGAGTGTGAGAAAGAGCGAACGTAGCATGAAGCAAATAGCCATGGAACGAGAGTAGGGAGCAAGCAAAGAGAAAGATCGAGAGAGAGAGTGAGATAGAGTGAACACGCATCTCGCACAGTGCCATGGAGCGAGAGGTGGGAGAGAGCTATAGTGAGAAAGATTGAGAGAGAGAGTAAGGGAGATCAAGAAAAAATACACGCTATTGGTTGATGTATTCGTTTAGTAGTTATAAATTAGAACTTTAGATGGCAATTCTGTCGCATAACGTCTTGTGAAGTAAACACAGATTTTTTATTTATTTATATTATCATTAGCACTTATAGAGTGTGTAAACAGTGTAAATATAGATATACAAATACATGGAGTGATCATATACTGGTACATGATCATCTATTGGGGTTTTTACCTTGGTAATAATTAATTTACAAAGAAGTTTCACTTCCGAGTTCCGACATGTGTACTTTGTATGTACCACTTTTTTATAATACACGAGGCAGATGGGCAGGAAAACTTCTATAAAACTTTCTGAACTAAATATGAACATTGCAATTAATCCTATTAACCTGCTTGGTTAGTTCACATTGTGAGAGGAAATAATTTTCCTCATTACAACCATACCACGCTTTAGCTATTACGTTATGGACGGACAGTCACATTATGGCGTAGCTTTGACCATATTTTAATAGGTAGGGGATTAGCAATCAGTGACACGCTGTTGGTGTATAAAATATAAATCAATTTGCACACAGTTTTGAACACGCGCTCTCTGAGTCGATCTCAAAGCGTCTAAACACGGCCCTAAAATCAGTGGCGATATCAGGACAATGGTGGTGAGGATGAGATCGGGTCGTAGTTCAAATCGGCAGTAGCAATAGAGCCATAATAAAATTAGGGTTTGCCTCGTATTACATTAAAAAACTTAACCACAAGGCTTTTACGTTTTTTATGCCTTTGTAGCACAACTTTAATATTTAAGTCAAACAATTACGTAGTATTTTGATGTATTGGCAATACTAAGGCACTTAGACTATATTTTAATAAGTGTAATTCGTACCTGGTATTCTGGCAAGTATCCTTTCACGCTGTGATAAAAGCCGAAGTAGACCATATTGAAGATGCCATTTCTGGCTATCGTCGCTGTCAATCCTTTATTGAGCCCTCTAAAGCCGAGACCACTTTCTCTTACTATCTCCCTGGTCACCGCCCAAGTGCTGGGGCTTTGGGTAGCAAGCTGCTTATTCGACTGAAGAGTCACTTTGACTACTTCGAACGGGTTCACTAACACTGCTTCAGTGATGCCAGCTCCTAAGCCGGCTAATGCAAATGTCTGCAAATATAAGTACATATAAAAATTATACATTTACGTATGGTACGCGAGCTTCGTTGTTTTAAACATTTTAAGAAGTTTTTAAAAATATTTGTTAGGGTTATTACGTTTGATAATATTTTACTAAAATAAATTATGCAACTGTAAGTAGGTACTATAAATTAAGAACGCTTCGAGACGGAACAAATTCTTAAAATGGCCATAACCGGGACATCTGCCCTATTTAGATCAGAATGTAAGATAATAATTATCAGAAAAACTAAACAAATATATTGCAATTGGATAATATTATAGATTGAAATGTCTCTGTCCACAATATAAAGATGAAATAATGAATGGCATTTTAGTTAATACAATGAAAACGTAAACAGAAAATCAATTAGGGGAAAATAAAAACAAAACTAACTAAAGGTGTTGGAGTCGGTGAGCCAAACATAAAAAATCGTTTATACTGTTCAAAGGTAACAAACTTCACAGCTCGTTTTGGAGTTTCTGCTAAAATTGGCGGTAATATTCCCTTCCAGAATGATAATAACCCCTCATGCTGTTGCATTTTTTTCATACAGTCTATTATCCCTCGGTAATAATGTGGATCAGAGTGATTAATTTTTGTCGTTGTAGATTGCAACTGCAATCTTGTTTTTACGAGATCCAGTGGATGCATAATGCACACTTCAATAAATCCAGCACTACCTCCAGCTCCAACTTGCATAGCAGCTTGTTTCAAAATTGTTTCAATTTCAGGCATTTTTCAAAATGTTTTTTTACTCAGTCACTGAACACTCACTAAATAATTATTATATCAAGCTTTTCATCGAATAATTTCAACCAAAGGTGGCGCGTTTAATTTGAAAGTAATTTAAAATTGCGACGTATTTAAAACGTCAAAGCAAAACAAAAATACACGACGTGAACAATCGTGTTTACAGTCTGTGTTTTCTTGAACAACTAAAAGTAATTTAAGATTTTCCGTATCAGTGTGCTAAGTCAAATACCGGTTATTTGAAAACCCTAGTAATGTCAAACTCGATTATGATTTTGGCAACAAGAATGTCATTCTCAGTGTTCAGATGACTGATGAAGTGTCGTGTCAAATATCAAATTCGCATCGAGTGTTGTTTTGTAGGAATGTCGACTGTTTTTATGTTATTTTATTAGAATCCCATTTAATAATAAAACAATGTTGTGTGTCTTTGACAAACCTTTTGAAAATAAATAATCTTAACCCCCCCCGAAATAAGTTTTATGCATGTATATTTGTGTAAAACACATGTCTTCAATTTTGTTATTGTGTGAACTATGAACGTCGTACAAAATGGCAGTAGAGAGGCCAGAGTTTCTTTTCGACATGAGCTGATGTGAAATTATGTTTGAAATTGTGATATGTATAGTCGTGTGAGTGTAGACAGTCAGTCAAACGAGATTATGTGTCTCTAGTAATTAAAATGGGTTCACAAACATTGGAGATATTACGGCAGGGTATATGGGCATCTTTAACTGGGGGTTGGTTTTATGATCCTCATCAGAACTTATTTTGTAACACCGTACATTTGTACATATGGCTATTCCTCCTTTGCTTGCCCTTCTCCGTATACCTGGTAAGTAGTTTCGCGGTGTTTGATGAAGCATTCATTACGACAAATAATCAGGTCAATGTTCTTAAGGTTTCCGCAGCTCGCGATTAGTCATTTGTTTTTACTAATAAATTACAAAACAAACTGGTTTTGTGGCTGCTGTTCTAAGGCAATGTATTTCCTAAAGTCTTTGCCAATAATGTAATACTTAATAATGTTTATAATATGACATAGGACATTTTTTTTACTATGACTTTAAAAACATATACATACATATATATTGTAATCAACTTTAAAGTGTCACAGTAACGGTCTTAAATATTATTATGATTAAATGTTACATTATTATGATTTAATGTTACATTATTACTTTCATTCCATATGTTTAATTTTAAACCTTCATTGCAGTACTTTCCACCAGCAAGTGTTGGTTGGGCAGTTTATTGTGTTCTAGTGGCTTTGGTATTTACTGTCCTCAAGGTAATAAACCATGGTTTGCACCACATGTATGATACAAAGGAATTAATTGTTGTTGAAACAACTGATGAATCAGGCAACCCTACTGAGAATGCTGCGTAAGTAGTCCTTATACTTCATGGGAGTTTGTATATTTAAATGTTTTGTACTGTGCATATATACCATTATCTAATCAGACAAACAATAGAGAAATATGAAATATAAAAATGTATACTTAGTTTTAAACAAACATGTATGGTTTAATAGGTCATTATCTAGATTGATTTTGACTTTAATCATGATCATTGTGACAAAGTAAAAAGTTATTAGTCTATAAATGCAAGTCTGCTATTGCTGTGGTAGAATGGTTTAATAGTAAATGTATGCCTAATGGTAGCTTAGTGGATTAGTAGTTGTAGTTTGCATTCAATACTTAATATACTAAATCCGTAATGGATGTAAAAAAATATTTTGATGAATGTTTGATTCAGTACATACATTTTTGTATCCTATGTATTTTTTAATTATGTTTTTACATAAACACATTCTGTTACCTTTTCAGTGTATAGTTCATATTAAGTACTTATCATTCCGAATATGTTAAAACTATTATTAGACTAATATATTTTTTACAACTATAAGCCACCACAAAATAACAATTTTTAGTATATTTTTGTACCTAATATAAAAGTAATAGTAGATTAGATTCAGCTTTGCTTTAACCCTGCTTTGTTTGCATGTATTAAATATACTCACAATTGTTTAGTCTACTGCAATCCCGCAGGCCAGAGGAGGGTGTGGAAATGCAAACCTTAAATGCAGCTGCTGTCCCGCCAAGTGACAATGATTCTGTTACTTCCCTTGAAACCTATCATAAACCAAATAACAGCACTATTGGTAAGTTGTATTTTTCTTCCAATACTAGAAAAATATTTAAGTCGTAACTTAAAAAGGTTTATTATAATAGTTAAGTTACAGTGTGTAAATGTACCCTGTTCTGTGTTAAATTATTTATACAATCCGAAAAGATTTTTGACATTGTTGTCTCATTTCAGATTTAAAAGTGGATGTTCACCGTAAGAATAGTTCGGAATCTAGCATGGAAGATAGTGCAATATCTGGCAAACAGCTTGACCCAGTTGCTACAACTAAATCAGATCTGTGTATTGCGCAGACAGCAGATGTAGGACTATCAAAATCTCGTCCAACTAGAAGTAGATCAAAATCTGGTCATAGGCGAGATATCAGAAGTAGACGTGGTGCACCTGGTAGAATTGATGAACTGGTTGCTGAAGAACATCGAAATTCCAGAGGTGATAAAAATCTACCCGTACATAATACAGATGAAGGCCCATTTGCTAAAGTCAGTCGTCGGTATCATGAGTGCCCTCACAGAAGAGGCTCCAGCAATAGGGATTTCTTTAAAGAATGGCTTTACTTGGACGGCGACGAGGCCGCTGTTGGAGAGCCATATCAATCCAAATTTGCTAGGCAACTGAGTTCAGATTCGCGAGACAACTCAGAACCTAGTGTAGGACCACCTTCACCAAAGAAGAGACTCGCACAACGACGCAGATACACAAATTATCCAGATGAAAGTTGTACCAAGTCCGCTATGGCCCTTGCAACCGCACAATCATCAAATATGCGAAGAAATTCCAACTCTACTATGTCCACTATACAGTTGCCGCTTCTTAATTCAACCGCGCAGTTAGTTTCACATATGAGGAGACACTCTAATAATGCTGATCACGGATTTTTCGCTAGTGTAGAGTTAGGTGAATATATGATGGTCAAAGCAGAAGCACCAGCTGAGACTGATAAAAGTAAGGGTAAGAGTCCTGGTGTTAGGAGAATTAAAAGTGCTGCTTTAGAAATTGGTTGTCCTCCCCCCAGTGTTTCCAATTTATCACCACATCCAAATAGTGCTGAAACCATTGGTGGGCAAGTGCTTAAAAATCCAAAAAGCGCAGTTATACCACCCCCTAGCAAGTGTCTCACCCGTGGTCCCCACTTAAATTTATACCCCAAAAACGAAAATGGTGAAGGATGTAGTTATCCCTATTTAAATTACGGCTCAGAAATTGTTTATCCCATAGCGGAAATATCCGATGAAATGCAGACTTCCCAAAAAGAAACCGACTTAGATTCCAGCGGTGAAAGTTATAGTGATTATGAAGATGAAAAACAGTTTAGAGGATTTGACTGGGATGCAGAGCAATCATCTGCAATGCGTTCTAGTGATTCTGATTATGAGAACAATGGCTCGAGATCTCCCTTATTAGATAGACCTAATGATGTTCGCGTAGTTCGTACAAAAAATCAACACGATTGCAAGAAACATTCCTGTGATCGAATCCAAGTAGGAAAACACAATTTGGGCTGCCCTAGTGAAAAAAAGCCTACAAGACTGAAAAAATCCGCCAAATTAGATACCCGACACGAGCGTCAAGGGCATCCTTGTGAATGTAAATACAATGCAGACTATTTTGATAAAGCTAGTGCAAGTTCAAAAGATTTACTAATAGAAAAATCTAGTTTAGAATCAAATGACATAGGTGATCAATCGGAAAAAAAAGCAGAAGAGAAGCAGCCAGCAGAAAAAAAAGTATGGGACCACGATATTTCTAATTCTAGCAGTAGTAGCGAGGAAAGAAGAGTTGAAAATAAATTTGAAAAACATCCGCCAGAAACGGAAGAGTCGCAACTTACTTGCGATAGCAAGAGTGCTGATGAAAAGAGTGTATATAGCATTGAATGGCTATTTGAAGAAACAGATTCAAAACAAATAGCGTACAAAGATAGTGTTTATACTGAAGAAGTACTGTGTAAAAAACTTGGTGCTCTAGGAGAAACTTCCACAAATGTTCCAAAAAATTTAGGCGCAATACCAAAGCAGATTAAAAACTTAGCGCGGTCCCGAGCATCATCACAAAAGGAGAACAAGAAGCGAGATTCTAGGAAAGAAAAAGATGAAAGTCAAAATGAGGATAGGATACTAATGGATGCTGTTGAGGCTCAAGCCGCTTTAGTACAGGGATTAGAATGTTTATTCGCTGCAACAAACGCAAACACTGTCGTAATGCCACCGCCAAACAGAGAAGATGGTCGTTCGCGAAGTCATCGACAAAGTATACGAAGTGAAAGAGAAGGTTCCCACAAAACCAGAAAAAGATCGATAGAAGAAGTCGCACAAACATCCACAAATACTCTACTTCCGACTTCTATGCCATTATTAGCTGCCTTTCTCAATTCGAGAGTAGAGTTTATGCCGTGCTGTAATGAAAATAATACTCCTCCTGTTGAAACGCAACCTACAGAAGAAGGTCCAAGATTGCGACCTTTAATGGATAGAAATCATAGAAATCGAGTGCGTAAAGTAAAACGTTCCACAAGGCAAAGAAATAATTCTTCACAAAATGATGAGAAAAAAGAAAAACCTTCAAACACAGAACAAGGCAATTCCGGCACAGCTCATTTCGCGAAGTCATTCGATGACACTACAGACGGGGCTATACATTGTTTTATGGATGAATATGGCAACTGGATGTCATATACTTTCGATAAAAATGGTTGCGCCCGAACCCATGCTCTTCCAATTCCATTGCCCGGGAATGAAGATGCACCCAGAATTAAGGAAATCAAACCGGAAGATAACACGGAAACAGCGGGTGGAAGCTGCGGTTCCTTAGAATCAGAGGCAGGAACTAGTGAAAAT